GACTTCCTGACTCTCGTCTCTCCTTGAGCATGCTTGGGGATAACGGGGGTTTCTTTGCGGGGATCGATTGCGTCCTCGCGTGTATAATAATACGTTCTGTTAGAAGGATCTTAAATCATCTCACATAATAAATATTAGTCTACCGAATCCACTTTCTTGTACCCAGCCACCACGCGATGTCGCAGCACCGGGACCAGGGCAAGCAGCAGCCAGATCAAGGTACTGAGCGCCAGCCCGGCGGCAAACACCACCACGACGAAGGAGGGCGACCAGCTCTGCTTCTCGGACGGGGGAGGAAAGAGGAGCACTTGGGGGTCATCGGGCTGAGGCCGGTTTGCCCCGGGGGCCCAGTAGGTGGGCGGACTGCTGCGCACCATGTCCGAGAACCCCAGGCTGTTTTGGTCGGCGTCAAGAGCCTCAGCGGACACCCAATCCATGTATCCGCGGGCGATGAAGCTGGTCTCGAAGCCTGTCTTGGCCACGGTGCCGATGAGAGTCTTGTCCCCGTCGGCGGCCGCCTGCGCCCAGAACCGCCAGAACTTCACCTCGGTCGCTCCGTTCCAACTCACGTGGCATTCGGTCAATAACTCGGAGCCGTTGATGCCGGCCACGGACGCGACCATCACCGGGGGCTCGGCGGGCGACGCCGACCAGGGGTATTTGTAGGCGCGGTAGTTGCCGAACCGGTCGCTGGCGAAGCGGGCTTCGGTCAGGAGGCGGCCGCCGTGATCGAACTCGCTGATGTACCCATAGTCACTCCAGGACACAAACACGTTGTTGTTGGGGAGGAGTTGCGTGCTGCCGCGACGTCGCGTCAGGTCGCCATCCGGTCGCAGGTACTGGTTCAGCAGCCTCGCCTCGAAGTTGACCAGGTCCAATTCCACGATCATGGCGGAGGAGACGGGCTTGTTCTCGCTCAGCTCGTCCGCCGCGTTGTCCAGGAAGGACATGACCATGCGCTCCGGGGTCTGGAGGATGATACGCGCATCATGCTGCCATGAGAAGTCGAAGTCCTTCTGAAAATTGTTCCCCTTGCCGCCCAATCGCCACCGGATGGCCCCGTCCTGCCCGGATATCAAGTAGATGGTGCTCGAGTGGCGACACGACATCAGGTAGTCGCCGTCTTTGGTCTTTTCGATGGCGTTGCAGTGAATGTAGTCGGCGCCGCGGGGAGGGGTGCCGACGGTGATGTCGACAAAGGTCTCGTGGAGCGGGATGTGGCCCTCGGAGTTCCATTCGAAGAAGACGTGGCCGGTGGTGTAGTCGACGTCGCGAAAGCCCTGGAATTTGATCTCGCGGGAGACCCCGGGAAGGCCGATGTCGGCCAGGTCCACGACCTTGGGCCACTGATGGATGGCCAGCGCTTTGTGAGGGGCGTAGACGTAGAACTCATGCTTGTCGAAGACGGGGGTACTGCCCACTTGGCGATACTGGTGGTCGAGCACGGTACCATTGGCAAATTCCAGATCCACCCCCAGCCCGGTCTGCACCATCAGTGACAGCTGAGGCTTCAAGTTGCCGGGGAGATTGGTCACGACGCGCAGATCGAAGGCGTTTTGATTGTCGGTGTATGCAGCCCCCGTCCACACCAGATCCCCGTCCTGATCATAGATGTAGGGACCCACCTGATAGGGCATCCATCGTGTGGTGTAGGGTTCTCCGACGGTCACCCAGTAGGGGGCGACAAACCAGTAGCCTGGAGCGGTGGCATTGCGATGATAATGCGTGATGGTCCATTTGGGGATGCGATGCTGTGGTAACTGTTCCTCCCATTAGTCAGCCCTGAGTCATCCGGAAGAGGGGAGACTGGAGAAACGCACAGTCCGAAAGACCATCAAGTCTGAGTCATCCGAAGCGGTGAAGTCGCTGGCTGCCATCCCAGCAGAACAAAAAAGCAGAAGCAGCAGCACACCGAATGAGCGTGATAGGGTCATGGTGGCATGAAGTAGAAGGAATGACAATGCCTGCGACTCAGGTACTCCCAAAAGAGTTTTCCTCTGAACCCAGGGGCTCGAGGGAGTTTTATTCATCGCAGCGTCGCTTGGTTTTACCCCAGATGCATCGAGACTAAGAGAGATAGGGGGGAGCTGATCGATGGATCATGGGTCATGGATCGATCCACCTCGGGTTCGCCGCAAAAACCAGTCTAGACCACACTGGCTTTCGACATATCACCCTTGCTTGCGTGCAATCCAACAGATAGTAGTATAGCCGGGGGTAACATTCGAATGCTAGAGTCAACATGTTGTGTCCGCAAGTTAAGTTATTGGCACTTCAAGTGAACCGTATGAACAGTACGGGTTATGTCCACAACCGTGATTACTATACATCTTGCCGGAAGGACCAACCATAATGTTTCGCCACTAGAAAAAATTGACTATCTTGTTGGCTTGCCTGACAAACTAAGTATCATATGTATAATTCTGCACCGGTCAAGTCGAGAATATAGAATCACTGACTGGCTTACTACAGCTATAGTATGCTCATGAGCCCCACAAATTGCAAAGTGCACAGTAACCTCAGCTTGAATTTGGGGTTCTGTACTTCCGTTCACTCCCCGAGTCCCCAAGTTAACTAAAGCCATGGGGCTCTCGGAGTTGGACCAAGTTCACAGTTACCGACGCTCACATACTAAATCCTGTACTCGAGGACTTGGGTCATGGTTCGGAATGCTGAATCGGCAATTCACCTCAGTTTCGGCTCCACCAGATCTGAAGATTCTGGATCCGTATCTCCGTATATCCGCATAGTCCCCCGCGTTCCCCAGCTTTTCAGCTGGGAATCCCCCCCCCGGGGAGAGGGGACGTGTTTCCTGTTCGTATAAAGACCGTGTTCTACTGAATCAAACTTGATGAAGTCGAACATAGTCACCATGGACTCACAATCCACGATCCCACTGATCATCGATGGTCAAGACATCCTATCCTCTCCCAAGGAGAGACAGGGCACAGTCGCAAACCAATACCCAGGTGGTCCCGTTCTCTACCAGGGTGCTACCAGAGACCTGGCCCTTCAAGCTGTACAATCCAGTGCGAAGGCCTTTCCAACATGGTCAAAAACTACCCCAATCGAGCGTCGAAACCTCTTATTCCGACTGGCCCAGATTCTGAGAGACAGGGCCGATGAGATCAAGAGCGTGTGTTGCCAGGAAATCCACTGCGGACCACTGTGGGCGGACATTATCACCAACGACAGCATTGGCCTGATTGAAGAGTACGCGGCGCTCACCACCAGTGTGGCAACCGGGTCGATTCCGTACATCCAGCAAGGCTATGGCATGGTCCTGAAAGAACCGCTGGGAGTGGTTCTCGGAATCGCCCCCTGGAATGCGCCGATCATCCTAGGCCTTCGGTCGGTAGTGGCCCCCATTGCCGCAGGCAACGTCGCCATCTTGAAGGTAGGGGTTCTTTGAACAGATGAAAGGTGGAACGTGGACGGAATGTGAAGTGCGGTGGCTAACGGAGGAGATTAGGGCTCCGAGCTGAGCCCGCAGACTCACTACCTGCTCGCCTCCCTCTTCCGCGAGGCCGGCTTCCCCCCCGGGGTTCTGAATTTCCTGCTCCATCGACCGGAAGACGCACCGGAGATCTTTGACGCTCTCATCACTCACCCGGCCATCAAGAAATGCAACTTCACGGGCTCGACGCAGGTTGGTCGGATCATCGCATCCCAGGCCGCCATGGCACTTAAGCCGGTGTTGTTGGAGCTCGGAGGCAAGAACTTCACGGTGGTGCTCGACGATGCGGACCTGGATCTCGCGGCTAGGGAGATTACAAAAGGTGCCTTTCTCAATGTAAGTCACTCTGCTTGCCTGCGAGGCATCGCCTCAATCATTAACCCCAACCCAGAACGGTCAAATCTGCATGTCCACGGATATGGTCTTGGCCACGACCGCGGTGGTCCCGGCTCTCGAGGCCCGAATGCTGGCCATCTTGCGTGAGATCGAGACTGCGCCCATGGTCATTTCTCCGGCGGCGAAAGCCAAATTGGAGATGCTGGTCTCGGACGCACAGGACAAGGGCGCTGGAATCCACACTGCCCCCAAGGCCATTGGCAAGACACCGCAGAGCTTTCCTCCGACCGTGGTAACGGGGTTGACTCCGGAGATGAAGCTGTACGAGATCGAGTCCTTTGGTCCGGTCGTCGGGATCGTTTCATTTGAGACCGAGGAACAGATTGTCTCCGTCATCCAGCAAGCCAAGTACGGCTTGTCTAGTTCAATCATCTCGCGAAACCACTATCGTGCTCTGGAACTCGCGGGGTCTATCAAGGCCGGGGCGGTGCACATCAACTCTATGACCGTGCATGATGAGCCAACTCTACCGCATGGGGGGTACGGGGATAGCGGCTGGGGTCGCTTCGGCGCTCGGTGGGGGCTAGAGGAGTTTGTCCAGACGAAAGTCGTGACTTTGCATCCTTAGATGGTGCTGACCGTTGATATGAATGGTGTAGCCACACGACGGATAAGGATACTTCCGGCCGGGTGAAGCTGTGGAGCATCTGGAGCAGCTGAATACGAGGGTGCATTTATTCTGCCAAGAATACATGACGAGTAGTATGAGCTTATCTGCAATTAGAAAAGCCGGTTCAATTTGCAGATTAGCGCCTGTGTCGAACACCTTCGCCTGCCCGCTGAATCTCCCCGGTGACTCGTAAGCGATACGAGCAGGGATGCTTGGCAAATGATCGGATATCGAGAGGAAGGACTGGGATTCGGGCTCCGGGCAAGATTGCCATGTTAGGAATATGGATCTGATTAGATCTCGCTTAAGGAGCGGTCTTGGCAGTCGGGGCTACTCTAGAGTCTCGACAAGTTGTACAGTATTGCCAACGGCCAAGGCAACATGTCATGGGCTTGCGTAGTTGCGCGGCTGTACTCGATGGCGTCTATAAATTCGATCCCAACCCCTGTCTGGTTTTCACAGTCTAGCACCGGCTTTCTTCTCGCCCAAGATTCAATTCCCTCATTTGAGCCAATCATTCACAGCGTCCTAGCCAATATGCAGTTTAAGGTGGGTATCCTAGAGTGGTTCGAAGGTCTTCTGCTGATCATGTCAGGTCCTCGCCCTCGTTCCCGCCCTTGTGGCGACTGCTGCTGCCACCATCGACGTTGCGTTCAGCGGCTACTACCTTGCCGACTGCGTGGCCCCGAGCATTGAGTCCGCCAACGTGATCTCGGGTGGTTGTGGACCTGCCCAGGGTCTGCCAGTGAAGTCTTTCTCGGCGCATGTCTACTCCGGGAGCTGTGATGACAGCACCACCTCGCCCGTCTTGAAAGTTTACACCGCCACGGGATGTACCGAAGAGTCCTTGTATGGAGAGTATGAAGTCAACAGCACCACCCAGTGCTTTGAAGTGGATGCGACGTTCTTGAGTAGTGAGGTTGTGTGCGAGTGATTGGTGGTCGTTCTTGTATGGGATGTATGGGATGTATGGAACTACTGTATGGAGTCTATATCTGCAAATTGTCTATCTTCGCCCATCTCTCGTATAATTTTCGGTGATATAGTCCGCTCTGCCTAGATGGGGCATAGTTGCCAAGCACCCTCATGTGATGTTGCTGACGCATCCATTGCCAGCAGCCCCTGATCTGCATGAAGATTACTTCATTACCTCGTTGTCAACACCATCTTCTGGGGGTCTCCTGCTCATCAGGTCCTCCTTATGCTTCAGCGGTGTCTCTGTGAACATGTCCCCGAAATCCGCTTCCCGTTGCAGTGGGGATGCTGCTGCAGGAAGCGGCCTGCCCCTGAGGTCCCGACTGGGGTGCAAAACTTGCAAGTGGGGTCTACCTTCCGCCCAATGCCGGCCACGAACTGGAAGTTAAGCATGTAATAGAATCCGTCGAGTCAAATGTGGACAAGAGAAGCCCAACTGTGTCCGCTGCAGCAGCACGGGTCGCAAGTGCGAGTACGTCAAGGCTGTGGCCGGCACTTTCTCGTCCGCCTCGCCCCCTTCCACCACAGCCCTCGACCATCCCCTGGCGTTTGCCCCCAACACCGTCTGGAGAGAACGTCGGGCTTTTGCCTACTACTTCGAGCGCGTGGCTCTGTTTGTCGGGGGTGATCTAGATGTCGAATTCTGGGGGACTTTTGTGCCTCAGCTGTGTCAGGGAGAGCCGGCCGTGTGGGATGCCATCATCTCGATCAGTGCCCTGTTTGAGACGCACGAGCGACCGACAAGTCTGGTTTCAGTACAGCCCGTTGACCAACCGCAAGGGGATGCCTTGGCCTGGTACTCGCGCTCCGTCTCGGCTATTCGCCAGCGCATTGAGCGCGGCCAAATCGATATCTTCGTCGGACTGATTACGTGCGTGCTCTTCATTTGCATTGAGACCCTGCAAGGCCGCGAAAAAGAAGCCTTACAGCTGTTTGCGCAAGGGTTACAGCTCATTCAGGCTCTGCGCGCCCAAGTCTCGTCTGGCATGATTCCACCCTCCAAGGCAGTCTTACTGGAGGATGTGCTTGTCCCAATATTCATCCGACTCGGGGTGATCGCTTTTAGTGATTCGGCCAGTCGGATGGGCTGTCTGTTGAGGGCTCGTACCCCAGTATGGTCGGCTGCATTCGCATCCCTGAGATGCGCTCGCGAAGCTCTCACCAATTTAGGCGCAGAGACCATGCTCTTCGAGCGTCAGTGCCTGGCCGAGTTATCGCAGGTGGATTGCTTTCATGTCAGCGAAAGGTTGCTTCACACGCAAGCGATATTTTTCGAGCGCCTGCAAGAATGGGACGCCGCTTTCAAGAGGCTTCTGGATTCGCTCCATGACAAAGGGCCACTCTCCCAGCATCAGGTGGTCAACAGCGCGCTGCTCATCGCCTACCACAAGACCACTATCATTCTAGCGACCATTTGCGTATCCTCCCTACAAACCATGGCGGACCACTGCCTGGAGGACTTCCAGATCATCATCGACCAATGTGGTCTTGCTCTCGACGCGTCCCGGCGATCTGACGGCACACAGCCACCATTCACATTTGATCTTGGTGTTGGACTGCCCCTTTGGTTCACGAGCCTCCGATGCCGTGAGCCGCGCATTCGACGCGCCGCAGTCGAGTTACTTCGTCGAGCGCCACCGGTGATGGGGTTCTACCGTTCTACGGCGGCTGTCAGCTTTGCCGAAAACATTATTATGCTAGAAGAAGGAAATGCGATGGCATTGAGACCGGCACGAGGGACTCGATCTGCCCAAGAACTGGCCTGGGAGGAGGATCCCGAGGGTCGCATGCATGGCAATAGGTTGCAGCTGGAACAGGGTAAGCTCGTGGCTACTTCGGAAAATGATGCTCAGCTGGCGCTGGCGGACATCCCAGAAGAAGCGCGGATTGGACCAATCAATGTTGTGCGACAGGATGACAGCTCATCACCACGAACCATGCAAGAGGGGGTCATAAATCCGGATTCCAGTAACGAAGTGACGGGGATGCGGTTTATGCGGAATCAGCGAGATCCGGTGCAGAATACATGGCAGAGGGTGCATGAATACCTGCCTTTGTGACTGAGGGCAACGGGGGATAGGCAGAGCAACACAAGAAATTCTCGAGGGGAAACACGAAGATCAACAGCTTGTTATCACAGTAATCCCTTGTAATGGAACAACAGAGCTCCATCCTTGAAGTTCTTTGAATAGGTATACTTGGACAAGTAAGGGCTTGGTACTCCCCGTACAGCCACGGCAGACATCACTGGTCTTCTGCGGCACTGTAAGACCGGATCAATCGGCACGTGGGACTTGGAGAATGCTGTTGTCCACTCATAGAACAAATTTCATACTCAGAGTAGCATGAAATGGGACGATGGCGCATCTGGGAGCGCGTCAGACTGAAGCACTAACTTCGGCCGTAAATCTGAAGGTGGCCGGTTCAAGCCCGGCTCGTCCCAACATTTCTTTTTTGGAGAAAAGGTTTTTTTATGTGGTCCATATCGGCTTCAGCGGGTCATCCAGTAGCACCAGTAGCAAGCCTGGAAGTGGAGGTAAGTTAGGGCTCGTTGCGTCAGACGGAGATCAGTAGGTGGCCGGTTCGATCCCGGCTTGCCCCATCCCTATCCTATCCCTATCCTATCCTTTCTTCTCTTTTTCTTTTCACTGCATTGTCTGCTTCTTGTCACAAAGTAGGTACAGTACAGTCAAAGTACATACAAATGGGATCCGCTATTGCTCAGAGTCCTCAGTCTTGCCAGCCCTCTTCCCCTGCACCACAACTACCTCCTCCTCCTCCCCCCCCCCTTCCTCGCCCCTCTCCAAGGCACCACCAGTATTGTCTATCGCCTTCTCCCGAAAAACAACCCAGACCCCAATGGTCCCCACAATCAACGCCAGCGCAGACGCCAACGTGAATGCATAACCCTTGGTAAAGCGAGGCCCCTCCACGGTTGGAAACACCAGCAATGGCGTCCAGGCCGTCGTAGATTGAGAGACCGCATTGATGACCACCAGGACCACGGCTCGTTCTTGCGGGGAATACCGGAGCTCGGTGTTGACCCACCCGTACAGCACGCTCGACATGGCCACACACGCATAGATGGTCGAGAACGCAAACCACTTGGCCGATTCGGGCACCTCCCAGATCGTGAGAATGATCAGCCCGAGGCTGTTCCAGGTGTGGGCTAGGACAATGGCCCACGCCGGACCCAGACAGAGGTCCGATAGGAAGCACACAAAGAGAGTATAGAAAATGCCTAGGGCGGGGGCAATAGCGGAGAGGTTGTTCAGGGTGGCCGTGCTGAAGCGTTGGAGCGATTTTAGCCAGAGGAGATACCCCCCTGCGGACGCGTGGAGGCCAGCATTCCAGAACAGGATATCCAGGACGAGGAAGATGTAGAATTTCTGGTTCTTAAGGAGGGACCGACAGGTTTGCAGCGTGGAGAAGCCGGACGAGGTGAACCGATGACCGGTGCGCTCGAGTCGCTCACGCCCACGTTGGACGTCTTCTTCCCGAAGAATCAGTCGGTTGGGCTTGTCCGGGGTACCGGGTAGGACGAAAAATCCCAAGATGCCGATAGGAATGGTGATGATCGCGCAGATAATGAACATCCATCGCCAGCCGGCAAGGCCAGACACCCCATCCAGGCGCGAGGAAGCCCCGGCCTGGATGAGGCTGGCTGTGAGGGTGCCCAGCGTCAGGCCCACATAGAAGCAACCCCCACGGCGGGCGATCTCGTCTCCGCGATACCAGGCCCCAAATATATAATGCATCCCGGGGAAGAATGCCGCCTGTTTGCCGCCGAAGGTCAGATGCGAGTCGCAGTTTACAAGGAGAAACCCACCTCGAACCATCCCACCAGAAACCGGTAGGCCATCATCTCGCTGTACGAGGTGGCCCGGTATTGGAGAAGAGTGAAGATGCCCCAGGCGATGTCCATGATGGGGATCAGCCATGAGATGGGCACTCGCGTGAAGAGATACGCAAATGGGAGCTGGCCGACCACCGCGCCGACCGTATACATCGTCTGGAGGTTCACCAAGTCATCTCCACCGAGGCCAATCTCTTCTTGCATTCCCGATACATAGGCATTGTCTGAAAGTAGGAATCGAAACTGTTAGTCCTGATTGCGGGGGTAATGAGGCGAACTGACTCAGGTTGGCTTGATCGATGTATTTCGTCCAGTAGGACAGAAAGGCATACGGGACAATCAGAGCATCCAGCTTGAGAATCAGCTTTCTGTCCCCGGAGGTGTCATTGTCCGAAAACCACCGCATCTGGTACCATCGTCGCTGCTTGGGAGAGGTCATTGTAATGGTGCTGGCTGTTGCAGGAGCGGCACAGTCCCGGCTGGGGGCTTAAAAAGAACGTGCACACTGCAGAGACCATGTCGCCATTGACGAAAAGATATGCAACATGACGATCTGCAATATCTTTCTTGAGCGGAACTTGTCCGCAGGCTGTCTAGCTGCAGGTCAAGATATAGCTATCAGATTGTGTTGAAAGGAGGGGATAAGGCGTGCTCTGCCAGTACCCCCGCGATGCTAACGACTCTGCGGCCTTTTAGTCTCAAATGCTTATTGCACCTCGTGTGTAACCCTTGGTCGGTCATTAACGGCCGGTCACGCAAGCTGGTCGGTCTTTGGTGACATGGTCAGGGAATTCGACTCTAATAACACTCGAGCTTCGAGCGTATTTTATCGTGCTGATGGTGGAAGAAATGACACCTCCCATGGCTACTGCTTGACAGAAGACTCTGTCACGCAATCCCTGGGGCGATGGCGTTATCTGAGTGAGGGGTTGAAAAGCATGCCAAGTCTGTACTCGGGTGTAGGCGAGCAATAGCCCGATGGAGGGACGACAGAGGGTTATTGTTTAACTGCCATCGTCGTCGATGCTGTTGGCAGTCTTCAATTTCTGTGATCCCGGGGATCCCCAACCACCATGAATCAGAACAAAGAAGCGAAAACATTCATGCCACCGGTTCAGGCGTTGTCGCTCTTTGAGATCAATAATCAAGCATGTCAAGACATTTCTTTGTGAGTGCATTCCAACCAGAGCTTTTTGACTATACATGTTGTGTTGTCTGGGTGCCGACCGTCTATAAGTACGGAGCCTGTAGCAGTGATATGAATCTTCATCCATCAACACATCAGGCTCAAATGCCTCAAAGTAGACACTCAACTATTGTAGACCGATCCAAAATGGTCAAATACCGAGAAGGAAGCTCAACACTCGACAATGGCAGGAAGATCTATTGGCTCATCTGTCGGGAGGAGCAAACCTTCGGGCAATATTGGAGGATCCTGGAGCATCACCTGGAGCGGACCTTCGACAGGCTGCGCATCAACCATCCTCAAGCATCGACCTTCTACGGAATGATTCGATGCGGTAAGTATCATCAGATCTACCGGGAAGTAATGATCCCAGAGGATGAAAATGATCCCGACCATTTTGTGAATGGCCTCTACAGGATCGACATCAACGGGAGAGTCGCCTTCCACCGCGTGCACGATGAGAAAGTGTTGTATGACTGGCTCCACAGTCTTCCTTCGGCTGATCACGATTACGATGATGATGGTATTGTTGTCACCGAGGGCGATTATGGGAGTGATGTCGTAGAGGAAGGAGAGATGGAAGCATCTCACCTTGATGATGACCCCGAGGCCGAGGTCGTAGAAGAAGGTGAGGGGGAAGATCCTTACCGTGATGATGTCTATGAGATCGATGCCAGAGAGGAAGATGAAGAGGATGAGTTTCGTCCCGATGATAATGATAACTCTGCAATTGACCTCGAGATCTGGGACATGGACTGGGATGACAATGACGAGCCTAATTCAGTGGTAAGCCTATCGTCTTAGTTTCTTAAAGGCCTTGTTCTTTCCTAGTACCAGGTAAATCGGATTCAAAAAATTAAATTCAATCAAAACTATATATTTATATGCAGCTTGTACCCTAGCGAATAGCGATAATCAGTAGGGTTCGAACCAAAGACCAAAATCGAACAGAACATTGGACTCCGGTGCACGGACCCTTAAGTCACTGTATGCCATGAGGGACCAGTCTTGCATAACTGATGAATCACGTGGCTGTTATATAATCTCAGCTTAATGCACCGTATGCCAAAGGAAGGAAGATAAAGGCCTGGATTGGCCCCGATTTGCTCGGCTATAATTACTGGACGGCGTCTTCAGGGGCAGATCTCGTTCGTGTATGTACTGTACTTAGGTAGGTACCTAGTCTAGATCCCCAAACTACCGGAACCCAATCTCCACCACGCTCCGAACTATTTGTACTCCGTACGATCTAACTGTCTAATCGCTTGCAATGACTCGATTTTGCCTCCTGCCAGCAGGAGCGTACTGCTTAGTTCGTATCTTGATCCGGCTATTTCTTGAAAATGCCCCAATCGCGATGGAATTCCTGGTGGGTCGGGGGCCAGAGAAAGTCATAAATATCAACTCTTCCTGTCCCAGCTTCTGCCGGGTACGTAACAGACAGAGCCTTGCCATTCTTTCAATTGCCCTCGCGGCACCCACTCTCATTTCATCTTCATTCGTTGATCATACACACATACACAATGCGTTGGAGCCAAGCCGACTTTGGCAGTCTGCTGCTCGCCAGCACCTTTGCAAGCCAGGCATATGCGACCGTAACTTGTGAGGTCGAAGACACGGTGGGAACATTCCACAACCCGTCCTTTGAGACGGGGGACTTGACCGACTGGACTGCCTTGCAAGCGACTGGCGCAACATCAGCGGGCGCCGTGGTTTCGGGCGATGAGGCTGCAGAGGGGGAGTATTATTAGTTGGTCTCCCGCCCCGTTGCCCTAACTCCTCTCCATCCATACTCCCCTCCCCTATAGTACTTATACTTATCGTCGGACAACCTGTAAGGTACAATGTTAACTGAAGGCATTTTGCCCCGCATCCAGTTCCATCGGTGGCACGACAACCTATACCTACCTCAAACAGACCTTGACCGATCTTGATACCACCCAAGCCCTGACTTTGTCGGTCAACTATCGCCTGATCTACACCACCTCCACCGCCAACAGCTACTGCTTCCTGCATTTCTCGAAGGGCTCATGGGCTCCGGCCAATGCGATTGGCGGACGCTCCACCGTCTACCCTTCGGCTTATGGCTCCAGTCCAGCCTGGTCGACATACTCCCAGAGCTTCACTCCCTCGGCGTCTACCCTGGATATCTACCTCGTTTGGGCCTGTCTCGGTACTTGGGCCAAGTACGAGTTCGATAATTTCGGGCCCGGGGAGACCACGGTTTGTTCCACCTCGACCTCGACACCTGCGCCTATTAGTACTCCGACGGCCATTTTGTCTTCATCTGTGGGGGTGGTTGTAACAACGAGTGCAGTGGCCAGCCCCAGTTCGGCTTCCGTCGCCAGTTCTTCCGAGGCCATCGTTGCGAGCAGCCCCAGAGTGACCCCGTCCATTGCGTCTAGTAGCCCTGCAATTCTCCCGAGCGCTTCGGTGGTCTCGCTTAGCCCTCAGTCCAGCTCCTCCATTGCCCCGATCTCTGCCTCTTCTGGAACTGCTGCATCAACAAATGCCATTCCGGTCTCTTCTACTGTTGTATCAATTGCCAACTCGGCTTCTACCGTTGTGGCAAGTTCTCCCTCATCGAGGTCGGCCTCGTCCATCCCGCTTATCCGGTCATCTTCGTCTTTCCAGACCGTCGCTTCTGCGAGTGCTCCAGTGCCTGTTGCGCAAACCCTCTCCAGCTCCCAGGCTACCATTCCCTCTTCAAGAGCATTCACAGCGACATCAAGCCACCCTGTCTACCCTTTGTCTCTGTCGTCCGCCAGTGCTTCAGTACCTGTTGCGCAGACCATCTACAGCTCCCATGCCGTTATCCCTTCTGCAAGTCAACTGACGGCAGCATCAAGCCACTCCGTCGATACATCGTCTCCGTCGGGCTCATCTCTGCTCTCCGGTGCCGGTGCTCGCACGACAGCTGCGCCCGGAGTCTCGGTCTCTTCTGGCTCTAGCATAGCGACGGTGACTTCTCCCACCGGCCTCCTCTCTGCAGACCTCACTACTTCTACGGTTCTAACGACGCGCACCTCAACGGTAACTGCATGTCCTTCCACGGTGACTGCATGCCCTGCCTCCGCTCGTACCACCTATATCACCACCGAGACCATCGTAGACTTTACAACAATCTGTCCCGTGACGGCCACAGAGACGGCTGGAGCCACCGAGACAACCTCCAGCGTCTTCAGTACTCGCACTGCCACAGTCACTGGCTGCCCGTCAACACTCCCTGGTTGTCCCGCTGCAGCTCAAACAACATTCGTTACCACCGAGACTATCCTCGTCTCGACGACCATTTGCCCAGTCACCGCTGTGTCGGCTACTGCAACGGTGGTGCCGGTGTTCACCGAGACTACCTCCAGCATCTTCACTACCCGCACCGCTACCCTGACCGGATGCCCCTCGCATGCCTCGCGTTGCGCCGCCACTGACCGGGCCACTTATACCACCACCGAGACAGTTCTCGTCTCAACAATCATTTGTCCGGTTACGGCAGCCGAGGCTACCGCGAGTCCAGCCCCGACTGAGACTACCTCGAGTATCTTCAGCACCCGCACTGCCACGGTGACTGGCTGCTCGGCGGGTGCAGTCGACTGTGCGAGTAGTTACCGGACAACTTACCTCACCACCGAGACTATCTTGGTATCCACCACCGTATGCCCGATCACAGCTGTCCAAACCACTAATCCCGGTGCCCAGCCTACCAAAACAGAGATGGCGAGTGACGCGGCGGATGAGATTGTTTCGACCATCTACTCCACTACCACGGTCTGGGTGGCCTGTGCAACGGATGCTTGAGGTTGGGTCAGTCCCCTTCTAGGCGATCCGACGGGGTGTTCGTAGGTTTAGATATCTCCACTGTCTGCCACTTATTTGAACATGCTCTCCATGGACTTGCGTTCCCTCCTCAACCCAACATGGCATAAACCAACGCAAACCCTAAATCTGCCTCATGATGTGAAGGGGCACTAAGTATTGGCCAATTGATGTCATTGTAGATGAATTTATGTTAGAAGTGTCATAGACATAGACATAAGATCCATTCAAAAACAAAGATCTGCCAAAAAAGAGTGGCGCTGCCCGGAATCGAACCGGGGCTGGCACGGCCACAACGTGACGTCATACCACTAGACCACAGCACCTGTTGTTGTGAAAGAGGCTGAAGATAGAGCTCTATAGCAATTTGATAGTTTGTGCATACTGCGGGTGACTGGGTGGTGCGGGCGCTGCTACAAGCTCAGGCAGAAGCACGTCCACAACCGCCGCCCTGCCGCCATCATTAGCAAGGTCTCCAACTCATACTGAGAAAGCTTGAAGTAGTGATATACCAGTTTGTAACATCTCAAAACATCTTCCCATATCATGTATTGATCAAGCTCATATCATTTATCCTTACTTTATTGTTCCCTCCTACTTTTGTAAATGTATTTCTGCTTCAAAAATTCATATTGATTCAAGCCCTAGGATTTGACTGTTGAGAACGGGTGACAATCTTTACCTCCATGAATAGTGAGTTGAGGTCAGATAGTGTGTATTTTACCTACTTAATACTCTCAACAGTTTACAGTCAGCAAGGGCAATTAAGGTCACAGCCATCTGCAGCAAGGTTAGGTTGCTTCGCACCGGGAGTGCCCTTGGCCATTCTACGCAGCTTCTTCAGCATTCTACAACCAGATGGTCATGCCAGATATGAAAGTAATTATTCTGACTCCGTTGCTCAAAGGGAAAGATCACCCTCTCATTCTGCGCGTTTATCTTCCACGCAGCGATGGATATCAGATAAGCTCCGGCCAGAATGAATGCGAGGTTCTCCTGCCTGGCCTCTCCCGCCAGGTATTCATCCGCGAACTCCCAGGCCTCAGTTCTGCAAAACACATGTTCCTCATCCTCGTCCTCGTCCTTGTCATTATCTGACCCCGACAAGACTTCCCTTTCGTCCACGCAGAAGATCTAGATTAGAGGCGGCTGTGGGGACTGGCTTTGTGACCAACAAGAAATGTCGACTATCACACACGAAAGATTCCTCTGTCCTTTAGTACGTGTGCGTTCGTGGTGTTCGACGCTGAACTGGTACTCCTGTTTCCAGTTCTCACCAGGCGAAAGGCCGCCAAATGCCGACAGCAGAATAGCAAGCCAGATTCCAGCAGTCTCAACCGCGCCGGGAGACTGGGCTGGGCATCCCGGAATTTGTTGTTGATCTTGCCCTTCACGCATCGCTCAATCCGACCCCGGATAATTTCGTTGTCCCAGTAGTCTGTTGTATACCGGCTGATGTTGGTCTTTCTGGACACCATCCGCAACTCTTTGACTTCCTTGACCAGGTCCTTTAATGAATATATAACGGTTTGGACTAGGTGGTACGATAACATCAAACATGGAGTCTGAACAGAAATCTGGTCAATTTCTAAGCTAAATAGGTGAGGACACACTTCTTATATTCTTCGGCGCGGGAACGGGCAATGGGAGCAGTTTTGGCTTGAAAGAATAGAAGCAGAGAGCTTGGTTACATTCCGTTAACGCTTTGTCAGGTCCATTGTGCTTCTGGGCATCTGATATGTGGACAGGTCGATAGAACAAGGTCCATTGTATAGGCCTTAGCACAAAGACCGGTGCTCGCTGTGTGTACCGGTGAGCTTCTTTGAAACGAGTGTGGTCAACACAGAGACTCTACATGGAAGAGGGAAGTAAACAATAGGTGGCAGGCGACTGAACAGTTAGCTTCGATGGTGATTTCATATCTTCTTTGTCCCTGACATATGCCGAGCTGCAGCAAGAGACAGGACAAGCGATGCCTGTAAGGGACGTGGATGAGTGACCACTTCCCAATTCAGGCTACATGAGGCCGTCCGAGCGGAACTATCAGCATTGGCATGGTGAGCAGCCTGGCCATCCTGGCCTCAGTTTAAGCTGGAATTAGATCAAGTTGTTGGCGTTGGATGGTCGGGGTCGACCAGTCGCTTGATGTGCTCCCTTATAGCGCTGCTACCCTGCGAGGATGTTTGTCTTCGTCCACGACTGCAGTGACGTGGAGGTTCTGTGGTAAAACGGGCAGGTGCATCGTCTCTGATTCCAATTGTCACCGACTTCCTGCTCAGTTGCTCCTGTCTCCGCGCTGTCTTGACCGGCGTCTACCTAGCATTATCGGGGCTGGCGCGCGGCCGTCCATGGTGATGCCTTGCCTCGGACTCCGAATCGCGGTCAATCGCCGCCTTACATGAGCTTAGTCCGTGTGGACAAGATGATGGGTCTGATGGCATTATCCCCGATGTCTTGCTCACCCCTGCTCACCCGAAGGGAGTTTTAATCGGTGGAAGATGTTTTGCCACTAACCAACTATTGTTTAATTTACATTCTCAAACAGTAGCAGTAGTCTTTCAAAGCTGTAATATAAAATACTCAGTTTTCTCTTGCAGAGAACGAACATATGTTTTATAGTGATGGAAGTTTGATACTATCAAGCTACGAGACCAGTAGTGCAGTATACTGAAGAGTTTTGGATGAATTTATTAATCGTTATGTATCACACCTGCGCCCTAAGTACAGTACAAAAAGCCTGACATATTGAGAACGCCGCTACGGAACAAGATGTTGGTCGCAACACACACCCCGACCCTTCTGGAAATTAAACCGGCGATGACCCTGACGATATGTAAATAGCTACGATGCTTGGGGTCAGAAGTGTGGGATATAGCCTCAGGCGCGGACCTACGGGCTAGTGTGCAACAGCCCTAAACTCAAGCTTTCTTCGACGAGCAGTCTGGAGGGTAGAATGCACCGAGTACACCAAGTACGACGGATACACCGACATTCTGATTTATCTGCGCGCGAGTAACAGTGCGATGGTGTTGAGCAAAGGCAAGATACATAAGAGCTCGATTCCCTTAGCTCGGAGTCCCCTTCGCATAGTTGGTCAAGTACTCCGCCATCTGCTTGTCTAAACACATCGTTAGGTCAACCCTTACAATTCTTCGCGGCAAGATAGGCACTTACAAACCGAGTTCGCATTATCCAGTTCCCACTGCATCCACTCCGGAATATCCTAGAAGCGACATGGTCAATATTCCTTTCCCAGTCAGATATCATGAACACTCACCGTATTGTCCAGCGCGCCATCCAGATACCCGGAGATAATCCGCGTATCAGCCGCGACACTGGTCCAGACCGACTGCAGTACATTGAGGTTCACGCGGAAGGCCTCGAGCTTGTCCTCGCCCACGTCCATGAGCTCCTGCCGGGCCAGCCGGATCTGCTCGATCTGGTTCTCAAGCGAGGCTTTCTGCCGCTCTTTGGTGCGGATTTGCGACTCGGTGGCTAGTCGTCTCAATTTTAGTTCAGACCCCATACTCCCTTTTGAGGAAGAAAACTGACCGGCTTTGGCGACTGCAAGCGCCGCCATCGAGACAATCGCCGCAACACTCACACCGAGAGCAATCAGCCCACCAATCTATGCAATCTCGCCAGTCAGAAGACATTCCATTTTGTGACAATCTGGATAGATTTGTTCTATACCGCAAGGAAAGGCCCGAGGATGCCACTGGCGGCGGCCATCGCGGTGAGGACCGGCAGCAGAAGCGCGCCACCCCCAAGCGCGAGGATCGAGGTATTCAGCGACGCCAGCTTGTCGCGGAGCTCTTCGAGCTCCTCGAGCACCCGGGCAATCTCCTGGTTCAGCTGCTCTTCCCGGTCACGGGCCCAGACGGAGAAGTCGGCGATGAACGAGGTGAAGTGCGTCTGGAGGTCGCTGAATTTGTGCTCCATGGCTCGGGCATCGGCTTGCGCTGTATCCATTTGCTGTACATTCGTCAACCATGGCCACGTCGACGAACGTGTCTCTTCGCTTTTATTTCCCTCTGCGAAGCAGGATCACATACATCAATGAACCGGTTCAGCACCGTGCGTCGGCTGTCCACGGAAATACTTTCATCGAAGCAGAAGGGGATGATCATGTCATCGAATCCTAGCTCGCGTGAGATACCACACTTCCCCTTGAAGTCAGCGGGAGAAGAAGCAGGCGCACGTACGATTGCCATGGACTGCGATGTCGGTCGCAAGCTTCCGACTGTCGGCGAGAACCACTCGATATGCCTGCCCATCGTTAGTTAGAATTGGTTAGGGCATAACGACTGACCGCGTACCAGCTGGTTCTCGACCAGCTTCGGCTCAAAACCCGAATGATGAATGCGGTCAATCTGCGCGATCTTGAGGTGCAGGCTCACGAAGAGGCGCTCGATCTCGTTCGACGCCTCGACTGCCCCGTTGGACGCTTGGCGCAGGTGCTCCGCACACTCGGGCGATGCCAGCCCTTTTGCTGCGCCCGTGCTGAAGACTTTGTTGTCGTGTTCGTTCTTGATTGGGTCGCTGAAATCACCGCCGTCCTTGAGAATCTCGATCTCACTGTCGGAGAGCGTGGCGGCGGCATCAATGAACTTCTGCGGGGTCGGGTCCGACCCGACCAGCTGGCAGACTTTGTCGACGAGGGAGTCGTAGGAGGGCGGGGAGCTGTGGGGCTCGTAGGCTGGGGGGGCTGTGGTGGACATCATGGGCGTCAATCTTGAGTGTGGCTGCTAGACACCGGTGGGGAGGTTTTCTGCTTCTTGTTGGGAACATGGATGTTTATATCTAACAGCTTCCGGATACGCAAGCTCTGATGACGACATGTGAGACAGCATACTGTACGTACGAACAACATGCATACTGACTGTACGGCGCAATCGCATGTCAGCATCAGGGCTGGCTGAATGACGAGACCTATCTCCAGTGGCAAAGGCATGCTTGACAGGGAGAGTACGGAGTAACTAGGGTACGACGGATTGATTGCTTTTGCCACTACGCTAAGCAAAGGAAGCGCCCCGCCCCGCACATGCATGTAAGAGAAACAAGTAAGCGCACCCCTGTCATTCACGCTAATGTATGCATCAAGAGAGTACGGCTGAAGCGCGCAGGGCAGACTAGCCTAATCGTACTGAATATCCGCACCAAACCCCGCTTAATCCTCGTGGTAATACAGAGTATTCGCCACCCAAGTGTGTAGCTCCCCCCAGACCTACTTTCTGAAACGCAAGTTCAGCTGAAAGGCCACAAACGCATCATTGGATTCACCGGGGTCTTCAGCTCAAGGGAAGTCCAGCCAATGGACCATCGCATCCCTGTATTGTTGGAGGTAGAGCGCCATCTCCGCGTCTGAAATGAGAGATGTCAGCTTTCCCCGCTCCGGGTGTACATGAATCAGTATCCAGCCGGGGAACGTACAGATCTCCATCCCGCGATCAAGGCAGAGTTGCATGTAGAAGGGATACGCCTAGGTACGGGTTAGCGCATACGTATACTGGGCTGAAACGTGTTGCTTACCACCATGTCGGCGGCAGTCTCGAACCACACTGTAATCTGCCGGATGTCCACCAAGACCCATTGCCAAACACGCATGAGGATGGAGGTATGCCGATCAAAGTCCACCAGCATACTTGGGTCCGGGGCTCGTCGAGACCCGACCTGCGGTTGGGTTGCATCTGGCATGTCGAGAAGATCCAAAGGCAGCTCGTCCTGCAGTTGCTCTATCAGCCATAAAAACTCGCGTGATTGCAAGGTGCCAATGCGTACTTTGAAGGGCAGAGAGTCAGCTATGCCACGTAGTTTATCGATTTCCTGCTTGTAGCTATCAATGGAACCATGGTCGTTGCTAGCCGCTGCCTCCGTTGCCACAGCACCAGAGACGCTGCGCACAGCTGGGAATCTGGACCAGGCACTGGCCAGGTTGTAGGCGATCTCCAGCAGACGAAGCATAGTGATCGTCACGTAGAAAGTCGGGAATTGGACCCGCTGCCAGAATCCGAAGTCAGCACGAACACTTTCTCCGCACCGGAGCCAGTGGGGTGATCTGAATTTACCCCGATAAAATTTTGAATCCGTAACACTTTCTGGTGCGTGGAGAGAGATTCATCGGTGGAAAACCGAGCAAGACCATCCTTGACCTCTGATGCAGCGATATGCAAGTGTGAGCGTTAGCCGGATTCATGAAGAGGGGATGTGGTCCAGAAGCTCCGTACCTTCGTAAATTGCGCAGATGTTGTTAGCAAGCGGGGTATTATGACGCAACATAGCCCTATGGTCCTGTATCCCTGTCAGATTGCTCAATTTACGAAGTACTACTTGTGGAATTGAGTTTCTCAGCGTGGCAAATACTTCGCGGATCTGACGGATTCGCTGCTCATGCAGAGCGGTTCCAGGCCATCCGGACATGATAACGTGGGCAATCACCGCGGTCAAGATGATCTCATTGCTCATTCCAGCGCGACTGGCTTCTTGGGCGAAGCGGATGTACGTGCGACTGTTCTTGCCCGATACTTGGATATTGGAGGTTTTGGTCAAGTGGCCATCCTCCATTATGTGCCACAGTTGAAGCGTACGAAGAACTGAGCAGAGATTGTGGTCGATTGAGACTCTGTCGTTGGAGCCTGACGCGGACATATTGCTGGGAGGACAAGGTAAAGTTCAAAGGATGAGGTGGATTGCCACTCAGATGGACAGGATCACAAGGCTTTGGGAGGTATTGGTAGGCAGGTGTTGCAACTCGAAGCAATTTATCTGCACCGGATTCCCCGGCGCGAGCATGTGAAGGGGGCGGGTGTGGAGTGGTGTAGTACAAGTAAACCGGTATTTGACTCTGTGCGAGAAGCCTTTCTTTGCTTATCAGCGAGAAAAGCGGGGTTTGATCAGCGCGTTGGATGATGACCTCAGGGTGCAGGACGAATACGCTCGTTGCATGAGCTCTGCATACACCATCGGCCTTTCAGCTGTGCAATCCCGACGTTCTCCGTGGTGCTACAGGCTATGTCTCTTATAAATATGGGCGCGAAGTCGATCTTCAGGTTCCACTGTACTGTACATGTTAAGACTCTGTTTGCTTTCCCAATGGGCTAGCAATCGAAACACAGTTATCAAGATGGATGTTGCACCCCCAACATACACAGCGAGAGACCCCCCTCCTTCCTACGAGGAAGTCGCTGCAAAGCTGGAGAACCTCGTCGGCGACGATGTCACGCCCGACACAGTCCTGGACGCCACGGACAAGCTATCGGACGCCGAGATCGAGATCCTGATCAACGGCGCCGATGACCACTGGCCCCTGGAGACCGACCAGCAAAAGGCGGATTTCGCGGTGGGATGCGGCCAATGTCTGTCCTCCCCGGAGGGCAAAACTCGATTCGCAAGCGCCGGCGGCGAGGCCACCCAGGCGACCCGCGACATTGAGAACATCTTTGCCGGCTTGCATCTACGCATTGCGCAAATCGATCGGATCCATCACTCTGGATTCGAGCCCGAGATCATCAAAATCCATCATGCGTACCGAGATGTGCTCGCTGGGAGCCGCGACTTTGCTGCCACGGTCAGCGTACAGTCTAGGCGTGAGTCCCGTTCTGCGTCGTCTTAGGGCTCGATCTAACAAGGCTGGGTCAAGGGTTCGACGAGAGTATTCTCAAGATTTGCGCAAACGAGAGCATCGCCGTCCAGACGCGTAGAAGTACTCTCGAGACGTACATAGAGGTACGCAGAACGCAGTCCTGGTTATAGTATTGACGACTGACTCATCCCAGCGAACTACATCGCTCCAAAATGATGCCCAGCAGATCACCGATGGCTTTCGCTCCGTGACCGACGACTTTGCCGCGTTCGTTGGCTCCTTCTCCACCTGGGCGAAGGACAAGGAGGGCGAGATTACCGAGCAGATCCGTCTCGTCGAGCAGGAGCTCGACGCTCTGCACAAGAGGCTGTATCGGCTCGAGAGCTCCCTCCGCGCCTTCGAGATCGTCTTTGGCGCGTCCATTCCCGCCACCGGGACCTTTGTGAAGATGTTCCCCGCCCTCGCACCGTGGATTGTGGTACGTAGTGAGCGTTCCTCCCCAAGATGCCTGATCGCTAATGGTGCATCTCAAACATCCAGCTCGGTGGCGTAATCACCGCCCTCGCTTCTTTTGCCGCTATCGCTGGTCTCGCGGCTGGCATATCCAGTACGGAATAGCCCTCGCCCCTCACTCGTTGGATACAATCACTAACCGCGAGGTACGTGTTGAGAAACCAACTACCGGATCCACCTCAAGACGCAGGAGAAGGAAAAGCTGCAAGTGGAGCTCGAGAACCTCCGCCGCACGCGCGCCGAGCTGGAGGATTTCGGCCACGACTCGTTGACGCGGTTTGAGACGGCCGTAGGGATCCTGACCGGGGCGTGGGAGCAGACCCTCGCCGATGCGCGCATTGTCCAGGATTGGCTGGTCCGGGGCGCGGATGCTGCGGTACGATGCTCCCCTTGCCCAGCTTTGATCAGTATTATGGTCTAACATATTGACTGGCAGCACTGGCCGGAGTATATGGAGCTGAATATCAGGCACGATGTCAATAAATGTAGGTCGTGATCTGTCGTTCCTTGAGCATATGGCTGACACGCCTGGTGGTAGATGACGCGCTGTCGGCGTATTTGGAGAGTTATGCCAGGGGAATTTGATCTCCGAGGTCCGTAGGTTCGCCTATGTGAAACAATACTATTTATTTACCAATCTATCTTCTTTATCATGGGTGATAAGCTTAATGAGATGGCCCATAAGGGGATGTCGCCAGAGCTGCCAAGCCCAAGAATGCCAACAATCCTACGCCCGTGCTCTTGCCGTCGCTAACTCCATCCCGGCGTAGAGGAACCATTTTGGCCCGGCCGTATACCGATTCCAAGTCTGACTGACTCGCTGGGGATGTCGTTCTTGTGTTCTACTCCTATGACAGTAGGCCGGTTGTGGCGAGCCAAGATCACATGACTGGCTGCTCGAACCTTCGCCAAGCCTGGCATATGTCGATACACATTGAATGAGACAACCGACTTAGAGCTCTACAGGAGACTCCATGGGCCTCGTCTGATTCACCGGCGTCACATGAACCTGCCAAAGTCTGGCCAAACCCCGCGGGAACTCCCTTCGCCGCTCCTCGCTCACCCACTCATCGTACTGATGGTGGGTTGCTTTCTCGCCCAGAATGCCGCGTTCTCCGCCATCGCGTACATAATGGAAGAAGTCATCGGCCACACGAACGTATTCCCGCAGAGCTTCCTGCACATCCAGGGTAGCGCCTGTAGTCCAGCTGAGAAGCAGCGGCTCGAGCAACGGCGCATCGGTGATACTGGGATGTGCCGTCCCGATGCTAGTGAGGAACCAGGACGGAGCGGGGACCGCACGAACAAGGTCACGGACGGTATCAAAGTGCGGGCGGTTGTAGAAGGGGCTGACGGTGCGGGACCAAGAGTTGGAGTGCACAACGAGGATGGGCACGGTGGCGTTGGGGTTGAGGGGGCCGCTCGATTTCCCCGGATCAAGGATCAATCCTGCAGCGGGCGCGGTGGACAGCGTAGTGGTGAGGGCTTGAAGGGCACCGGTGGCACCAAAGGAGTGGCCGGCCAGGGTGAGATGGGTCATATTAAGGCGGCCGGTCCACGAGGGGAGGGTGGTGATGGGGTCCCGAGTGTTGAGGATCAGGGTGCCGTTATTGATGGCTTGGAGGAGGTCGACGGCGGCATGAAACTCGGCGTCACGGAAGGCCAGCTGGGCGCGCTTGAAGGCATCCCGGTCGAAATCTAGATCTGGATGTTGCAGATCGGAGAGTCGGAGAGGGAGGACCTGGCGGCCCGAGGAGCTGGCGGAGGCCTTGACCATGGAACCAGGACCGCTTCCGTCGCGATGTTCGATGGCGATGATGACGTGCCCCCGGCTGGCAAGTTCGGCGAGGAACTGGGTATAATCGGTGCGCGAGCTGACATCGCCGTGGGAGAAGACAGTGACGGGGAAAGAGGAAGAATCATGGCGGAGAAGAAGCGGGGCGTCGACCTCAGCAGGGATGGTCACTGCGCCTCCCACAGCCCACAGGATGCCGGTGAAGATGGATCGGACGATGAAGTTGTCGACCCCGGCCAGGCGGGCGTAGCCCTGGGCCGTGAGGCTGATGGGCCGCGGAATCCACGGGTACCGCGGCTTGCGCGACCGGAACTGCCGGTCAGTCGGATAGTAGACCGTCGCCAGAAGTGTTTCGACTTCGAAGACCGGTTGGCCGGTGGCCTTGTGGACCCCCTCAGCGACCCGTCGAGGCCCGCCCGGTAAAGGCACTTCGATATCAATAGCCCCGACGCCATGAGGGCCGGTGTATGACGGCAGTGGAGACGCAAGGAGCGGTAAGCCGTACAGGACACAATAGAGGGCGTAGAGAGTGTAGAGACAGGAGGCGCTCCAGAGGATCTGCCGCCAAGTCAGACGCGGACGAGGCTGGTGGCCGATGGTCGTCCATCGAGGGTGCGATATCTGTATGGTGGGCGGTTTTTTGATGCTGCTGCTGCTGCTGCTATTGCTGCTCATTGTGCTTCTCTTGATGCTGATACTGGTCTGGGGGCCATAGAAGTCGCGGATGGCAGTGTTGCAGGGCATATTAGGTACATGTACTAGCTGGTTAAAGGATGAATGGTATGACGTAATACCGACGTGATTTGCCTCTGATTTGCCGCCACTGAGTGATTAGGCCTCGCCACGGGTTGGGTTTGGGTCCAACACTACTTCTCTCTACGTGACTGTCACTGGCCGAGGGACTTTTCTAACTAAACATTCCTACCCTTAAAAGTTATTGATACATTTGGCGGCTTCGGTGCTCCAGAGCAGGTCGAGAACGAGCTGGAATACCCGTCCTCCTCTTATGACAACTCAAAGGCTAGATTTCCTTCCAATTAAAAGTTTCATCCGGCATAGTCAAGACATCCATGATTGACGGACAGCGCCTAATCTCCTCGCTTACTAAGGGGCCATGAAAACCTGGTTAGTTATGTGTAAAAATAATATTTCTTTTTCAACAAATTGAATATTGAATTTCTTTCACATATATATACATAGTCCAAGAAGTGGTAGGAATTCCAAGTTAGGTTCAATACCGCTCAGGCCTCAGTAGAT